TGGGCTGAGAGCTCCTGACTGAGGGAGCGCTTCAGTCTGCGGTTCAGGATCTCCCTGTCCCTCCCTGCCTCTAAAGCTTCCAAGCCGATGCTCAGTTCTAGGAGGGACAGACTCATGGTCCTTTTTCTTCGTCCTCACCCTGCCAGGGCACCCCCTGGCTGACAAGCACTGCCTCTCAGGGTTGGGAGGGCACCCAGCTGCCTCTTGGCTTCCTTGGGAGCTGACAGCCAGGGCACGAGGTGGGGGTGGGTTGCAAAAGACCATGTTCCCTCCCCCCCAGAATCCTCACATGTATCTAATCCTCTGTCCCTTTCTCCTTCACAGGCCATGAACCTGGTAAGTGGCCCAGCGGCCCTGGGGAGGGGCCTGAGAGCACCTAGGTGACAGGAGCAGAGGGGTGGCGCAGTGGTGGCATGCTCACCAGGCACTTCCCACCCTCAGTGCAGTGCTCAACACAGAAACAAATCAAAGCTGCTGAATTAATCGTGGAGTGAATTTGCTTTCATAGAAAAGTCACAGATAATTGGAGTGTCCAGGAGGAGCGTTCAGTGTCTATGCAGACGCTGTGTGAGAGATTCGGGCACCCTGTATTTCAGTATATGAGAGAGCCCAAAACCAATTCCCTCAGGGATTGCAAGAGACCACTGACTGGGGCATAGAATAAAGTAGGGTTCCCTACTGTGGGCTGTGCCCAGAAAGGACAGAGAGACACCGGTACACTGGGGTCAGAGAGGTAGACACTACTGAATCCACTGTAGAGCTGGGCCCAGACCTCATGTGACCACTGTCCCCCAGGACCAGGTCTCCAAGGACAAAGCACTCCAAAGCATGGCGTCCATGTCATCTGCACAGATCGTCTCTGCCAGCGTCCTGCAGAACAAGTTCAGCCCGCCCTCCCCTTTGCCCCAGGCCGTCTTCTCCACCTCCTCAAGGGTATGGGGGGGCTGGGGGCTGGGGCTGGGGTGTGGCCAGGGTTCCTGAGTACTGAGGCCCTAGCTTTGTCCACAGTTCTGGAGTGGTCCCCCTCTGCTAGGACAACAGCCTGGACCGTCTCAGGAGTAAGTATTGCCCATGGATTCCCCAAGTCCTTCCCTCCTTCCTGAGCCCCGACTCTCACTGTCAACATCCCTGTATTTGTTTCCTACTTGGGAACCAACGGTAATGTCTGCGTACCACCAGGTAGTGAACAAAACTCAGGGTTCTTAGTTCTGAGAACATACTGACGGATTCAGTGAATAGCTTTTTAAGGGGAGTGTACCCACCCACCAGCTGTGGGATGCAGCTGCTGCCATCAGAGTTAAAACGTGGAGGGAACAAAAAGGTGGTGGGCTAGCCTGTGAGCATGCACTTTGAGGCATCAGCTGAGGGGATGCAGGGGAGGGAGGGACTGGGCAGATGAAGGGTGCCGAGGACCTCTAACTCACCATATTCCTGTCCGCAGCATCAAGCCCTTTGCCCAGCCTGCCTACCCCATCCAACCTCCCCTGCCACCGACGCTCACCAGTAAGTATCCTGCCAGGCCATCTAGTACCTCTGGTGTCTGCCCTTCTATGTGGGACCTGTATCTGTACCGGGGTGGGTGGCAGCCGTAGGGCTTTGATAAGTTTCTATTTATTCCCTGTAAAGAAAGAAATCAACATCTTCACAGAATTCCACTCTAGGTGATGGTATTTTAGTTTTCTGTGTGAACACACATTAATAGTGGCATGCAAAGACATCCTGTGACTACTACTACTGCACACCACCCCCCCTTGGAGAGTAAAGCCCAACCCTGCAGTCCACCACGCGTGGGCAGATGAGCTACATCTTTACCCTTTTAGGTTATGAGTCCCTGGCCCCGCTGCCCCCAGCCACTGCCTCCTCTGCCTCTGCGCCTGCGTGGCAGGACCGAACCATCGCCTCCTCCCGGCTACGCCTCCTGGAGTATTCTGCCTTCATGGAGGTGCAACGGGATCCTGACACGGTAATGTGGGGAGGGTGGGGAAACTGGCCTGTGAGGGAGCACCAAATGCGATCCTGGCAGTGGGGTCCTTGGGCCTGCAGCCTCCACCCCTCCAGGCTGACCCTGGTTCGGCCCTCCCCACAGTACAGCAAACACCTGTTTGTGCACATCGGCCAGACAAACCCTGCCTTCTCAGACCCACCCCTGGAGGCGGTGGATGTTCGCCAGATCTATGACAAGTTCCCTGAGAAGAAGGGGGGACTGAAGGAACTCTACGAGAAGGGGCCCCCAAACGCCTTCTTCCTTGTCAAGTTCTGGGTGAGGCTTCTTCTCCCAACCCAAGATGGGCAGCTCGCCCAGCTCCTTGCCTCTCTGCTCTCCTCCATGACCAGCGGGCCCCTGGGCGGGACCTGCAGGCCTCTGGGTAGGTGGGACTGGAGGCATGGAGGTGGGGAAGCCGGAGGCTGGCCTCTGGCCTCTGCAGCACTTGGTGTCCTCCCCACAGGCTGACCTCAACAGCACAGTTCAGGAGGGCCCTGGGGCCTTCTACGGGGTCAGCTCACAGTACAGCTCAGCCGACAGCATGACCATCAGTGTCTCCACCAAGGTGTGCTCCTTCGGCAAGCAGGTGGTAGAGAAAGTGGAGGTGAGCAGGGGGTCTGAGGAGGTGGGTGGCAGGCACAGGTCAGTGACACCCAGTGACACTACCGCCCCACTCTGCAGACTGAGTATGCCCGCCTAGAGAACGGCCGCTTCGTGTACCGCATCCACCGCTCACCCATGTGCGAGTACATGATCAACTTCATCCACAAGCTGAAGCATCTGCCTGAGAAGTACATGATGAATAGCGTGCTGGAGAACTTCACCATCCTGCAGGTGCGAGGCTGTCGGTGGCTCAGCCGGGATCAGGCTAGCTTGGAGAGGTCGGCCCAGCCACTGCCCCTGCTCTGCTGAGCCCCACTCGTTCTCTTCCTCCTCCCTGCCCCCACAGGTGGTCACAAGTCGGGACTCACAGGAGACCCTGCTCGTCATTGCTTTTGTCTTCGAAGTCTCCACCAGCGAGCATGGGGCACAACACCATGTCTACAAGCTTGTCAAAGACTAGCATACCTTTGATGTCCACAAGGATGCAAGATGGACTTCTTCCACACACCTGCCTGCCTGGTCTCCCAGGGTGTGGGTTGGGCAACTCACCTACCCATGGGTTTCAGGCTGGGACCCAGGCTGCCTCCCTGGCCCCAGCACACACGCTCCCTGCCACTGTTCTGCGCTTTACTGGAGTGAAGAGGGCTCCATGGTGATGTGGCCTTCCTGGGCATTGACCCACAGATGACCAGGCTCCACCTGGCCTCAAGTGACATCAGAGTTGGGGGATGGAAGACACCTGTGGGCTTAGTGCATGGTCTCTGGCCCCCAAGGGAGTGTGATGAGCAGGTGAGGGTAGATCGGAGACGACAGAGAGGCAGCTTGCAAGGCTGCCCTGGTACAAGGTGTCAAGTTGGAGGCTGGGTTAAGGAGAAGGGCCCACACTTTGTACCTTCTGGGCACCAGCCTGTTCCCAGGCCCCTTGCACAGCAAGATTGGGTCTTTTGATCAGACAAAGTGCCAAGATGGAGGTCCACACAAGTGGACAGAGCCGGAGCTTAGGTTTGGCTACCTCCCTAGAACAGGGCTGGCTACAGGGGAGGGGGCTGTGCTGGCAGAGCGGTACAGCTGAGCTGGAGGCTGAACAGGGTGCTGCCCTGTTCTCCCCAGCACAGCTACTAGGCACCCCTTCAGTGTCCCAAAGACAGGTGGCAGGGAACAGGAGGCTGGAACTTGAACAGACCTCGTCTTCCCCCCCTCCCCTGCTTTCTCCACACCCAGGCCCCTGAGGGTCAACTGGCCTGTCCCCAGGTCACCTGGGTATTTATGAGTTTCAAATGAAGTACTGTGCCCCTCCTCATCCTGCCCGAGCTTTCTGAAGGTCTTCACCGTTTGCATACTGCTCAGGCCACCTCCAAACCCCACCTAGGTTTTATAACATGTATTATATGTATTTTTGTGTATTTTTAAATCCAGCTGTGACAGGCTATGTCATAAACAGCTCAAGGCAGGGGCCCCTTAAGGTCTGGCTCTTGCTAAAAAAATTAAAAGCTGTTTCTGGGTCAGGACAGTTGTGTGTCACGTGCAACCTCCCACTGTGGCCTGTACTGATATGGTACAGCGACACTGTGATTGACCACCACCTCATCACTCATGCATGCCCAGCATCGTCTGGACATCACCTTAGTGCCTTCTGGGACAGCTGCTGCCAGGTGTGTAGGTTACCAGGCTGGGCCATCAACTGAAGGTCTTCAGCAGTCACTCCTGGAGATGCCCAGGCTAGACTAGGCATGCTGGTGACCAGTTCTACCCTAAGGATGAGAGGCAGAATGAGGCCCCAAGCCCGCCACTACACCCCACAGCCTGCAGGGGGAGAGCTCTGGGTAGGATGCTGGCCTGTGACATTCAAGTTCCCACAACTCCTACAAATACCTATCCTTACACCAGGCTTCACCTGGCAAGCCTAGTCTCAATCACTCAGGTACATCCTTCAGATGCTTGTGGACATCTCCCTCATCTGTGGAAGTAAAGCCTTCAAGCCCCTCTGGCTTTGACCCTTCCTTAGGAGGGGCATGCCCGGACCCACTCTGTTCATGTGACATGATTCTGTCTTTTTGGCTCTGGGTTAGCCGCGGCTACGTGCTTGAACCCAGAAGTGCGTGACCCCTAAGGTGGCCTTGCCTGTCACTACCACACCCCCCTGGAAACATTTCAACAGCCCAGAGCTAAGCTACACCTCACCTCTAACCATGCTGGAATTAGCTTTCAGCTGGGCTGAATCTAGAGCCTTGCTCACAAAAGGTTCCATCTACAAGTAGGGACCTGGTTGGGGCCAGAAAGCAACACCTAGATGTGGGCCAAACCCGCTGCTTGGGACATGCCCTGCAGCTGAACCCTCACTCTGGGAGTGTCACCACTCCCTAAGTCACCCTTTACAGAGGCTGTGACTGAGCTCACACACACAGACCAGGGGTACGGTAACACTAAGGTTTATTGGGACGTCCTAGTACAGACGCTGGGGCTTGCCCATGGTGCTCTTGATGTACAAAGCCCGGACATTTTGCCAGTTCTTCTTGAGCAAGGACACCAAGAAATTGACAGCCAGGTGGATGTTGTAGACCAGCTCATCATCAGTCATCTTCACGTGGCCAACAGCAACAGCCAGACACAGCACCTGCACGGTCAGGCTAGTGAACGTCTGTGGCAGGCCTGGCCCTTCCAGGTGTAGGCCAGGGTTCGTCAGAGCTACACTGTGCTTCCCCCCTTTAGCCAGCCACGCTGTGCCAAGGACCACACTCAGGTTCCTCTTAGCACCATGACCTCCCCGGAGCCCAGACCCACCTTCTTCATCTGGAACTTGATCGTGGATTTCACCTCATCCACTTTGGCCACCATGTTTTCATTGTGTGTCAGCAGGGAAGGGAACTTGCCAGCCTTGTTGAGGCCTGGGCCCAGGATACGAGGGATCTGCTTGATCAGAGACTCGGAGGCCAAAAAGGCATCGTACTTCTTGGCTGTGAGGGCAAGTCATGGGCCACTTACATCCAGGCCAGGAAAGCAGAACCAGAATCTTCAGTAGTGCGAGCCCCCCCCCCCCAGACCCTGCACTACTCAAGATGCCCAACACACAATCCACAGCACACTGCAAAGGGCCAAGGGGCTGCGGTGGCCTCTGGCCTGGTGTAACCCCAGCATTCACTGAGAGCCAGGTGAATGCTCGACGTGGTGGCACAGGCCTATAACCAACCCTAGCATCTATCTGAGAAACCCGCAGCAGGGCTGCTGTGTGGTGCAGACACCGGTTTGAGTGGGTGCCACACCACGTTGCAAGCAGAGCTGTCAACAGCGGTCTATCTGATACCGCAGTGGGGGAGAGGAAGCCTGCAACAGCCTCCACCAGACCCCAGGTTAACAACACCCAACAGCTGGGGAGGGCCACTTCAGAGTGACGGCCTCCGTCGCATGGGCCTGCGGGTGTTCTCCAGACCGCTGACCCACGTGAGCCCCCCCCCTGTGAATGGTGGCGCTGGGTTGTGGTGTTGAGGTGAGCCCGTGAGCTGCCTTCAACACTAGCACCTGGGTGAACCCCAGACACGGCACCCAGCTGCCCCTACCGAGCTTTTTGACTAGCTTCTTGTTCTTGTTCAGCTTCTTGAGCGCCTCGATGTCCATGTGGGGGATGTCCACGGCCTTGGCCTCATCACAGTGCTGCTGGTCCCCCAGGACGCACACCGAGAACTTGGGGCGCGGCGTGGACTTGAGCCTGCGTTGGGGGGTGGGGGGGTGGGAGGATAGGGACAGCAGGTCACGGCCAGTCCCGAGTGCCCGGGCGGGTGTGAGCGTGGAGCCTGGGGCGGCGGCGAGCCCCGAGTCTTACCCGGCGCTGGCAACACTAGCCTGGCTTCTCAGGCTAGCCGGCGGGCTCGGCCGAGGCCTCCCCACGCCTCCCCTCTTGTTTTAAGACCCAGGGTGGGGGTCCGTCCGGCCAGCCTGCCCGGAGCAGGCCGCCTGAACTACCCTGGCGGCGTCGGGGTCCCCGTGCCCGCCTCGGGCTCGGCCGCACGGGGACCCCGAGGGGCTGGGTGGGGTCAGAGCGGTGCCAACCTGACGGTGCCCGAGAAGCGCTTGTCCTTCTGAGGGTCGTAGTTCTTCAGGCTGATCTGCAGCTCCACCGTCTCCAGGAACCTACGCGACGGGGGCGACGTCAGCGGGGGGCGCCCGCCCATCTGCCCGCCCCGGGAGGCCCGCTCGCCCGCCCGCCCCGCTCATCCCGCTCGCCCGTCCGTCCGCCCCGCTCACCCCGCTCACCCCGCTCGCCCGCCCGCCCGCCCGTCCGTCCGTCCGCCCCGCTCATCCCGCTCGCCCGCCCGTCCGTCCGTCCGTCCTCCCGCCCGCCCCGCGCTCACTTGCGGCGTTTGCGCTGGTTCCCGTGCAGGACCTCCCGCACCGCCTCGTACAGGGTGTCGCGAGAGACTTTGCTGCTGTCGGGGAGAAACGAGCGCGCTCAGGGCCGGCCATGCTGCAGCCCGGCAGGGCCGCGGGGCCCCGCGCGGAGGGCCGCGGCCCACGGCACGCTGGGAAGGGGCTCGCGACGGGAACGGCCGCCGGCGGAGCCCCCGAGTCCGGCCCGCAGGGCGCCCGCGGGGCACCCGGGTGCCCGGATGGCGGCGGATAGCGCCCCCCGAGCGCCGCTTACCTCATGGCGACGGCGGCGGCGGCGGCGGCGGCGAAAACCGGAAAAGAGAAGCGAGCGCTCTGCGCTTGCGCTCAAATAGCGCTCCTGTTCTCGCGAGAACTGCTCGTTCCGGCGCGCGGTCCGCCGCTCCGCCTGGCCCGGGGGAAGCGCTGCTGTTTGCGGCCGCTGGGGGGCGCCACCCCGCGGCTGCACCGTGAGAACCGTGCAAGGCAGGGACCCGCAGGCGCTGGGAGGGACACTCCCTGACTCCTACCTAGCTGAGGGGCTGGGGCGGGAGCACTGAGGTCGGATTTCTGCCTGTCTTACGCCTGACCGGTCCTGCACGGCACCAGAACTGTTTTCCTTCATCGCCAAGTTCGGTGGGGAGCCCCGGGGAGCCCCAGGGCAGCAGCTGCCCTCACCAGCCCACGCTTGTGCAAGAGCCCCGCCACCACTCGTGGGCAGAGGCACCGCGGACGGGAATAGCTGGAGGACACGATCCTCGTTGAGATCTGCAGAACTGAGAAGCGTCCTGTGACTAGATTAGGATCAGATGTGCATCGTTTCAGCGCAAGCCTCCACCTGGGAGGAGGCGCCCCCCAGTCTGCCGTGGCCATCTGTATACACCGCCCCCGATTCAGCCTCCAGGCAAGATGGACTTTTGGACAAATGCCGCCCCCCCGCCCCCCGTCTTTTCTCAATTAGTTGGCATTTCAAACAAAGCTGTCCTTGCCTGACACCCCACCTCCACCCCACCCCCGTTTTTGCAGTTAATAGAGAGGAGCGGGGGTCAAGGGTCCGTGCAGGGCGCCTCCACATCTGGGGTGACTCACCCGGATCTTGAGGAGGGAGGTAAGCTCCTTTAGGCCACCCTCTCTGGCCAGCACCCACCATGGCCAGGGGCAGGTCTGGGAATGGTTCATCTTGCCCGGGCACATTCACAGCACACTCAGGGACAGTAAAGAAAGCTCACACAGGGTCGGGGAGGGAGTTCAGTGGCAGGGTTGAGCTTCAGGTGCTACCCAGCCGTAAAGGCCAACGTGGCGAGGTTCTGTTCTCTCTCTCTTAAGCTTTGTTCCCCAAACCAGGCCTTATCCCTAAACTGACTTCCCACCTCCCTGAAACAGGGACTCAGGACTCCAGAGGAAGCTGTGGTCTGAGACGCACCCAGAATTCTGTTCCCCACCCACCACAGGCCTCAGCTAGGAGGGTGCTGCCATGAACTTTCCTAATTCAGTAACATGTGTGCTAAATTTTTGTTTGTTTTTTTCCAGACAGGGTTTCTCTGTGTAGCCCTGGCTGTCCTGGAACTCTGATTAGAGCAGACCGGGCTCAAACTCAGAGATCCCCCTGCCTCTACCTCCTGAGTGCTGGGATTAAAGGCGTGTGCCACTGCACAAACCTGGAGGTGACAGTCCTTGCCTTCCGTTTTGTCTCAGGCTAAGCTGGCCCCCCAGCTTTGGGGGATCCTCCTGCCCCCATCTTGCCATAAGAACAGAGATGACAGATACCCAGCTTTACATAGGTTCTGGAGATTCAAATTAAAGTCCTAATGCATTCAGCAAGCTCTTTGCTCATCCAGCAATCTCCCAGCCACACCCACCAACATTTCTGAGAAAGGGTCTCTCATGTAGCTGAGGCTGGCCTTACACTGTGGTTGAAGATGACCTTGAACTTCCGATCCTCCTGAGTGCTGGGATTACGGGGTGAGCCATGTGCTTGGACGAACTTTTTATTAAAAACTACTACAAAGTTTTCAGTTCAGAAACAAAAGAGAAGGGTCACAACATACACCTGAGCACAAAAGTCTCCCCCTGAGCACACTGGGACCCTGGCTGTCCCAGGACACCACCCATCCACCACTGGCCCTCCACCGTCCCTGAACCGTGGTCAGGAGTGGCGGCCAGCATGAGGCCTGGGGCCTCCTCTCTCAAGTCAAGATGGCCTCTGCACAGCCAGGAGTGTCGGAAAAGAGGCAGCTGACTCCTGAGCTGGCTGTGCTTCGTGTGAGTTCTGAGGCATGGGGTGAGGGAATTGTGTCCTGTGGCTGGTCAGTGGGCCAGATGTCTCAGCGCTGCCTGCAGGGACTTCTTCAGGAAGGTGGCGTTGGGCTCCAGGGCCACAGCCAGGTCCAGGCTCTGGTGCTGTGTGATCTGGAGAGAAGGAATCGGGCTAGAACTGCAGAAGCCTGGCTCCCCATCTCCTCACCACCCCACAGTCCTGCGTAGGATGGAGAACGGAAGCCAAGGGCAGACTCCTGGCAACAGAACCTTACTACTTCTTGAGGTGAAGCAAGCACCGGAAGGACCTGGAATTCTACCAGCTGTAGAACTCAGAGCAGGCCCTGCTGCTGGACGGAGGGAGGTTCAGGGGTGTCTCACATGGCCCTCCTGACCCGTCCAGGCTCCCGATGAGAGAGGGTCAGGGACACACCACCATGGCCGCCACACCCTTCGGACCTGTTCCTCTATCTTCCTGTGGGGTTCAGGCTCCTCATCTCCACTCTCCAACCCCCACTCCTCAAAGCAGACAGAGGCACAGTCCCTCCCCAGATGAAGGTCCCTGCAGGCTCCCAATGCCTCTAGAAGGCAGCCCTGACACCTCTCTCTAAAGGGGGCCCCTTCTGTGATCTAGAGGCGTCTCTGGAGGAGCCAGCAGCCCCCAAACCTCAGAGCACACACAGATTCAGATTCCCACTTTCCCGAGATCATGGAATGCAGCTGTGTGATGGCCGACCCTGGCTGTCACCAGATACAGCTGGGTAAAGAGGAGCTTTAAGTGAGGAAGCGCCCCATCGTATCGGCCTGTGGGGCGTTTCTGTAGATTGTCAGGTAACACAGGAGGGTCAGCCCACAGTGGGCAATGCCAGGTGATCCTGGACTGTATGAAAAAGCAGGCTGAGCCCAGCATAGCGGCCCAGGCCTTTAGTCCCAGCACTCAGGAGGCAGAGGCAAGAGGGTCTCTGTGAGTTTGAGGCCAGCCTGGTCAACATAGAGGGTTCAGGCTAGCCAGAACTACAGAGCCTATCAAGCAAGAAGCCCTGTATCCCATCCCCAGCACTACATAAACCAGACCATAGCAGTTTCCCCTATAATCCTAGCACTTGGGAGCTGGAGGCAGGAGGATCAGATGTTCAAGGTCATTTTGGCAGCAGAGCAAATTCTGAGCTACATGAGATCTTGTCTAAAAACAAAACAAAACGAAAGCCTCTCTGGCCCATGACCTGGGCCACACTGCTGGTCCCACAGAATCTCCTAGCCTCTACCCCTCATCAGTAAAGAGGGGCTGCACACAGACACACAGCCCCAGCAAAACAGGAGGCCGACGCGGCAGACCCCCATCTCAAAACAAAACCCACAGAAAGGCGCTAACAGTGTCTGAGGGCTGACTCCTAGCCCAGGCTAGCAAGCTCACAGCATTTTGTATTTGTCTCACTATGTAGCCCAGATTGGCCTTGAACTTACAGCAATCCTGCTTCAGCCTGCCCCACACATTCACCACCCCCAGTCCCCAGTAAGACTCAGCTGCCCTCCTCCTGTCACCAGATGCTTGTGCATGTCCCCTCACAAGCATGACAGTTGAGGGGCGGGGTCAACTCAAGGGGAAGGACAGCATGGTGCTGTCCTAACCTCCCAGCGCCCCACACACCACTGCCACCAGAGATGCTGGCCCCACCAGTGAGCCCCGTGGACACTCACGCTGGCCTGGTACTTGGTCATCACTGTCAGCATCAGCTTGGCGTAAGCCATGGAGGTGGTGGCCGCCGGTCCCTCTTTGCAGAGCCTTTGCACTAAGACACTGAACACCTCAGAGGTCATCTCCACCTGCAGGCATTGGGACATGGGACAACGTCCTAAGGCCAGCCCCGGGTTCGACCCCAAGCTCTCCATCTCCTAGCAGGGAGCTGAACACAGTGCCCTAGAACGGGTCTAGAAAGTTCCTCCACAGACCCACGTGTTTAAGGGTTGGTCTCAGGGTTTGTATAAAGGGGACGGTAGTAGCCTGGCCCCTATTCTCTCTCTGCTTCTCGGCTGCTACGACTTGAGCGGCCTACCCAGCCACACACTCCACCATGATGTGCCTCATACAGGCCCAGGAGCCACGGAGCCAAGCACAGCTGGAACCTGTGAACCCAAGCCAACCTTTCTCCTGCTGTTTACCTCAGGTATTTTACCATAGTAAGGGAAAGCTAACCTATCAAGTTAAGCCCCAGTCCCCACAACTGGACAAGGCTCAAAGTAACTGTGAGAAGGATAAACGAAATTGCAGACACATGGTCTCACAAAACAGCAACTGCCCTCACAAAGGCTCAGATCAGCACCATGGGGGAGCCTGTGACTGGCCTGCCTCACTGGCTGAAGTCTTAACGTAGGGCGTGGCGAGGGACACTGCCAACTCTTCACAAAAACTTACAGGTGGCACTCGGCACTTCACACCTGTGGTCTTAAAATCTTACCACAGTTCATGTTGTGAGATATTTGTATACTGTGTGAAGTTGTTGTGAGATATTTGTACACTGTGTGAAGTTGTTGTGAGGTATTTGTACACTGTGTGAAGTTGTTGTGAGGTATTTGTACACTGTGTGAAGAAGTACTGTTGTGATTGGTGTAATAAAAAGTTGAACAGAAGCCGGGCGGTGGTGGCGCACGCCTTTAATCCCAGCACTCGGGAGGCAGAGCCAGGCGGATCTCTGTGAGTTCGAGGCCAGCCTGGGCTACCAAGTGAGTTCCAGGAAAGGCGCAAAGCTACACAGAGAAACCCTGTCTCGAAAAACCAAAAAAAAAAAAAAAAGTTGAACAGCCAAGAGCTGGTCAGGCGGGACTTCCGGGCAGAGAGAGAACTTCAGGAAAAAGAAAGGTGGAGTCACTAGCCAGACAAGGAGGAAGCAGGACAGGTAGTATGGAAATGAGGTAACGAACCACATGGGAGAACGTAGATTTAAAAAAAAAAGGGTTAATTTAAGTTATAAGAACTAGTTAGGAACGAGGCTAAGGCCGAGCGTTCATAGTTAAGTTCTGTGTGTCGTTATTTGTGGGCTGGTGGTCCCGATGAGGAAGTACTACTACAATCTCGACTCTCAGGTAAGGAGACCTGGGCATAAACAGCCAAGGTTGATCACTGTGATGGCCCATCTTCACCCGTCAACTTGATGGGTTGAGAATCACCATGGAAACGCACTTCTGACTACTGTCTATGAGGATGTCTCCCAGCAAGGTTCCATTGAAGGAAGATCCTCCTGGAATGGAGGATTCACCACTATTCCACGGGCTGGGGTCCCCTAGCAGAAAGAACCCAGGGTTCATCTCTTTGCTTTCTGAATGTGGATATAGCCTCAGGCTCCTGCCCAAACCTTTCCCAACGTGACAGGCTGTATCTTTAAACCGTGAGCCAAAACTGACCCCCCTCCTCCAGCTCATCCTCAGAAAGCCTGCCTTCTTTAAGTTGATTTTGTGAGGAATTTTATCACAGCAAGAAAAATAATTAATTACCTAAGATGTAAAAATGAGAGAAGCCAGGAATGGCATTGTACACCAATAATCAAAAGACTCAGAGCAGGATGGCCAGGAGCCCAGGTCATCTCTCTATAGAGTGAGTTTAAGGCCAGCCTGGACTACATGAGACCCTGTCTCAAAATAATAATAGTGTGGTAATCTGAATGTAACTGGCCCCCATAAGCTCATAGGGAGTGGCACTACTGGGAGGTGTGGCTTTGTGGAGTAGGTGTGGCCTTGTTGGAGGAAGTGTGCCACTGTGGGGGCGGGCTTTGAGGTCTCATATATGCTCTCAAGCCACGCCCAGTGTCTCAGTTCACTTTCTGTTGCCTGCTCAAGATGCAGAACTCTCAACTCTTTCTCCAGCACGTCTGCCTGCATGCCGCCATGCTCCACCATGATGATAATGGACTGAACCTCTGAGCTGTAAGCCACCAATTAAATGTTTTCCTCTATAAGAGTTGCGTGGTCATGGTGTCTTTTCACAGCAACAGAAACCCTAAGACAAACAGTGATAATAGTAATACTATAAGGATGGAGAATTTCTGGGCGGTGGTGGCACACGCCTTTAATCCCAGTGCTTGGGAGGCAGAGGCAGGCGGTTTGAGGCCAGCCTGGTCTACAGAGCAAGATCCAGGAAAGATGCAAAGCTACACAGAGAAACCCTGTCTCAAAAAAAAAAAAAAAGGATGGAGAATTTAGGTGGTAATATAGAAAAATGCCAAAATATACTACTAAAAGAGAGCAGGACTGGAGAGGGCTCAGTTGACGGAGCCCTGCCTGGCATGCATGAAGTTCTGGGTTCAATCCCTGGCATCGTATAAAATAGGGCACAGTGACGCACACCTGTAATCCCAGGTGGAGGCAGGAGGATTGGGAATTCAAGGTTGCCCTGTTCAAGGCTACTCTGGACTACATGAGACCCTATCTCAAAAAAGAAAAGAAAAGAAAGCAATATCCAGTCAGCCACCTATAGTGGCTCAGGCTTGTAATCCCAGTACTTGGGAGACTGAGGCAGGAGGATCGTAAATTCCATGACAGCCTGGGCTACACAGTGGAACCCTGTCTCCAAAACCATGAGCTAGGACTATGGCTCCAAAGTCTAGCACCCGCCTAGTGTGAACCAAGTCCTGGGCTCAAACCCCAGCTGGACACATGAAGAGCAGGTACAGGGGCCCAGGGCTGGTGAGCGTCAGTGAGTGAGAAGCAGGGAGGGCGAGTTATAGGCCTGCCGTCGAAGCAGCAAATTCGAGCTCTGCACATTCCTGTTTCTCTAAACCACTGACAGCTAAGCACCAGGCAGAGGGTTGGGGAAAAGGTCAGGGGAGCATTCCCCTCCTGCTGACTCCAACCCAGTGTGGTGGGGCACACCTATAATCCCAGCATGAGGGAGAAAGAGCAGGAGTTCAAGGTCACCCTCTACTACCTAGGCGTTCCAGGCCAGCACACAAGGGGAGGAATCAGCTCCAAGGCAGGTGCTAGAAAGAGACAGAGCTAAGGGGACCAGGGGTCAGCTGTCTGTCCCCACCTGCAGCTGCAGGAGCTCTTGACACTGCTGAAAGGCAGCCTGCTTGCCTAAGACTGAAAGCCAGCTGCTGGGCCCCACACAGCCTTCTTAAGGCAGTCCACTCACCTGGCGCTCCAGGAGTGCCTGCAACACCAGGAATGTCTCCTCCCTCCAGGCCAGCTCCAGGACCTGCCTGCAGAGGACACACAGTGAGTAAGGGCTGTCCTCCCACCACTGGGCACACAGTAGAGCGGGCAGCAGCCCCCATGTGCAGCAGCTGCAGACCCCAGGCTCCAGTACCTCCCCAGGTTTGATCACCCGCCCACTGTCTGTGAAGTTCTTCTATGCAGAAAGTGGATGCTGTGTAAGATCTGAAGTGGCCGGTGAGCAGTGGCTGGTGTTAGCTAAGAATACTCCCCCTTTTCTTCTTTTTCCATTTTTGTTGTTTTTTTTTTTTGACACAGGGTTTCTCTGTGTAACAGCCCTGTCTTTTTTTAAAGAAAGATTCATAAGCTGGATGGGGTGGTGCACACCTTTAATTCCAGCACTCCAGAAGCAGAGGCAGGGAGATCTCTGAGTTCGAGGCCAGCCCAAGCGAGTTCCAGGACAACTAAAGCTACCCAGAGAAACCCCATCTCAAAAACCAAATAAGGCAGAGCCAGGCGGATCTCTGTGAGTTCGAGGCCAGCCTGGGCTACCAAGTGAGTCCCAGGAAAGGCGCAAAGCTGCACAGAGAAACCCTGTCTCGAAAAACCAAAAAAAAAAAAAAAAAAAAAAACAAATAAGGGGCTGGAGAGATGCTCCGGGGTTAAAAGCACTGACTGCTCTTCTAGAGGACCCGGGTTCAATTCCCAGCACCCACATGGCAGCTCACAACTGTCTGTAACTCTAGTTCCAGGGGACCCATCACCCTCACACAGACACACATGCAGGCAAAACACCAATGCACATAAAAATAAATAAATCTTTTTAAACAAGAACCCAATAAATTAAATAAATAAAAACAATCTTGAACTTGAGTCCATCCATCTAAGTCAATAAACAAGGTAGAGACTGAACTCATGCTGACATTGGCGACAACCGTTATCGGCTATCGTGTGTCCGGCTGAGCTCCTTCTGAGAGGGACCAGCCTTCTGTCTGCACTCCCCAAGGTACCCAGTAAAACTGGGGATGATGTCTATCCAGGTACTCAACATGGGCCCAGAGGAAAGGACACAAGGCAAGTTTAGACCCCAGGGGCAGCAGCATGTGCTATGCCATGGTGTGTGTGTGTGTGTGTGTGTGTGTGTGTGTGTGTGTGTGTGTGTGTGTGTGCACGTGGTGCTGGGGATGAAACCCAGGGCCTCATGCAAGCTTGACCTGGGGAGGAGGAGTGGGTAATCATCAGAGCCTGCACACTCACCCCAGAATCTGGACCTGCATGTCTGGCTCCAGGGACTCATCCTTTATAAGGGAGCACAGTAACTCTGTCTGCATGGGACCTGGGCCAAAGATAGGAAAGGAGAGAGGGCTGGGGGAGGGCAGGAGCAGGCTGACAGGGACAAGAGGCACCTGTCTGGGGGCAAACTAGCACTTTTACACACCGAACCCCAACTCAGCAGGGCCCCAAGGGCACAGAGGGGAGGCCTGGGACTGGTTCTGTAGTTACCCATGCTTGGGTCCTGGAGTAAGGGAACAAGGACGGCCTTGCAGACAGGGTAGGTGTACTTCACACAGAAGGAGACAAGGGCAACTCTGAGCAGCCTGGAGGCAGACGATGGCAGGGAGAGGATCTAGTCACCAGGGAGAGGACAAAGTCACTCCTTTCCTTCAGGAAGTGTTTATCCCACACGATTCAGATGTTTCCCCCATTACTGAGGAAAAGCCAAGTGTTTGTATCTATTTAGGATTGATTGCACTGCCCGCCCCTGGCTCCCAAACCCAAAAGCCCCATCTGGGGCCCAGGTGGGAAGAAGTTACATGCTGTAAGGATGCATGGCCAGGAGCCCACCCCTTGGCCCTTCTCCCAAATCCCCTTCCTGAGGACTCAGAGGGCCCCATAGCCCTGGCCTCCTGGTGCCACCTGCACCCACCCGGTCAAGAAAGAGGCTCCTGGCCAACACGGAGGCACTGGCGAGGCTGAGGGTTGGTGTGAGACTCAGCAGGCGGCTGCAGAGCTGCAGGAGGCCTCCATCGGGGAGCTGGGGCAGCTGCAGCTGGCTGCATAGCAACTCCATCTGGGGGAAACCAGGGCACTCTTCTCGCTCTGCTAGGCCACAAGCCCAGCGGGCAACAGGAAGGGTAAGAACATGAGGGGAGAGGGGGCAGGGAGGGCTGTAGTGGGAGGGACCAGGGCTAAGAAATGACTCAGGAGAACCCCAAGTCCCGTGGGAGATGGGGAAACAGGCTGGTGCAGCGGTGATCTCAGGGCAGAGGCCTGTCTCACCTGGCTGGGACTACACTCATGGAGGAACTGCATGTCCACTGGGGGCTCCTCTTCCACCCGCTCCAGCCCCTGGCGGGGAGGCAAATCCTGAGTAAGGGTCGGTAGAGTGCTTGTGACAGGTCACAGAGGTCACTCTTAGAAGGCTCCACCTGAGGACGACTTCCTGGGGGATGATGGCGATGGCGTATCCAAACTTGGCCCTGTGGGGACTAGCCTCAGATTTCCCTCCTCCCCAGCTCCACACCAGGCTCCATGATCTGGGGCTTCCCTGGGCATGGCTACAGTAGAGAGAAGCCAGAAGAAGGGCTGTGGCGAAAAGGGAGGGTCGGTCACCTCCTGGAAGGCCTCCAGCAGCTGCTGCAGCCTGGGCACCTGGTCCTGCGGAGGAGAGGGCAGTCACTTTCTGTAGTGCAGAGGGCCCTCCTGGCTCCCTCTGTAAAAAACACCCGGGGAAGAGCTGGGAAAACGGCTCAATGGTTAGACACTTCCCTTTCTTCCAGAGGAACTGGGTTAAGCTCCCAGCACCCACACCGGGCTGGCTCACACTCACCTGTAACTCTAACTCTGGGAGATCCTACGCCCTCTTCTGGTCTCCATGGGCACCATGAACATGTGCTGCCCACACAGACAAGGAGGCACACACATGAAATAATAAAACCTTTAAAAAGTGGGGGCAATGGGAACTAATGGCCAAGGCAATTCAGGAGAAGCAGGAATGTGCCACCTCCATCTTACAAAATGTCTGAATCAGGCTTGTGTGTCTTTCCTGCATCCAACCTTAATGGGGTAGGTAGACCCAGCATGGGCAGGCAGGCTGGCTCGATGTTGGCATGGCTCACCCCATTGGGTAGAGCAGCAGGAGCCAAACCCTCCAATCCCACACCCTAGATCATTAGGACAGGTGTTTCCAGCTCACTTCCTCCCCATCTGCATCACTTTGGGGAGGGGAGGCTGCCCTCCTCCATCCTCCACAACCTACCCCCTGATCCCTGCTCCATTTACTAGAGAGGTCTCTGTTGGGAAATGAGTCTCAACCCACATTCACCATTATCCGGAAGGACCATTCTGAAACCAGCCTCCAGCACAGTACCTGGACAACTCTAGGCAACTCCACACTCTCAACTGGACCCTTGGCCTCCTCCACATCCGGGCCAGTCTCAGGAGTCTCGGCTTCAGTAATGGTCTGCTTTGGATCAGGTGACATGCGTTCTGCCTCTGGTGGGGATTCCGATGACTCCAGCTTGGGTCTCTCTTCCTGGTCCTTCCCCTCCTCCTCCAAACCCCGGAACCTTTTAGCAGCTCTCTCTGACTCAAGGCTGGCAGGATCTTCCTCTGGCTCCTTCCTCCGTTTCCCACAAAGCTGCAAGTGCTGGTCCTCCTGTTCAGGATCTAGAGCCTGAGCCAATTTCAGCCCCCTACCTCCCTGGCCCAGACGCCCACACAGGTCTCGGAGCTGTGACTGACAGCTTGTGGACAACGGAGAGGCTCCCTCCACAGAGACTCCGATCCCCACATCCCTTCTTAGCAGCTCCCCGAGGGCGTGGAGCCAGGCATCAGGGGTAGATGCTGTGTCCTGCTGGGCAAGCTGCAGCACAGAACGGAGACCGCTTTCGGGTAGCAAGGGTCGAACAGCCATCAGTAGGGACATCAGGTTCTTCCGGCACACCCCAGGCAACCGTAGCAACAGTGGGATCCTACGAACAATCAGAGCTGCTTTGTTTTCTGAGCTGGGGGTCTCATTATGTAACCCAGACTGGCCTTGACCTCTCAATCCTCCTGCCTTAGCTCCCTAAGTGCTCTGATTACAGCTATGTGCCAGATCGGGTGGGGCAGACTGGGTAGGCTGTACTGTGGCAGGGAATGGGTGGTGTCTGAAGAGTTGCTGAGGAGAGGGGGCCAGGTATGGTGGCACACACCTTAAATCCCAGCACTTGTGACGCTGAGGCAGACAGATCTCTACGGGTTTGGGGCCAGCCAGGGCTCGATAACGAGGCCTTGTCTCAAAAACCAAGCCAAACCACCAAAGAGGTGTGAGGCTGGAAAGGGAACGGCGGAGTCGACACCTGACATGTACGCAGCCGCTAACAGCTGTGTTAGAATCCAGAAAGGGTCTCACTGCCCAAGTGGGACACTGAGAAGGAACAGGGTGGAGACCCTTCACCCCACCCTTCACAGCTCCTAAGGGGCTGGGGTGGGTGGGTGGGGGTGAGAGCGGTGTTACCCTTAAAGTGAATATTATGTTTTGAAAAACTGACAACCAGCAGGCCTTATTGCACTACCTAGCACATCGGTTTTAAGTAACATCTATTTTTTTTAAATATAGTTTTGCTAGCTGTGCAGTCCAGGCTTCCAACTTGAAGCAATCCTCCTGTCTTAGCTTCCTGATTGCTGAAAGCACACCCCACGTTGTATGACCTATATTTTTAATTTAACACAGGCGTCCACTTGACATAAGGACGCCTGTACTGGAGGTTTTATTTATTTTTTCTGTTGTCTTTCTATGTAGTCCTGGCTGGCCTTGAACTTGAAGGGATCCTCCTGCCTCTGCCTCCCAAGTGCTGCGATTACCAGCATGCACCATCACAATTCAACTTTTATTTTTCTTCTGAGACAGGGTCTGAGATCCGCCTGCCTCTGCCTCGTGAATGCTGGGGTTAAAGGCATGCGACACCAGGTCGGCAACTTTGAGATGAAGTACGCAAACAGAGTCAATTTGCGTGCACTTAGAATTATGCCCGACGAAAGGCGTGTCTCAGTCCAATGTTGGGGCGCATGCTTGTAATCCTAGCACTCAGGAGGTGGCCGCAGGAGTTCGAGGGTAGCCTGGGCTAGATGGAACCCTGACTCCACTACACAAGTAAGCAGAGGGGAGGCGGCGGGGGCCACGGGCGGGGACTCACAGCTCCAGGCGGCCGTCGGGGCCCCGCACCACGGGTTCTGCGCGGCCCAGCGCCTCGAGGAAGCCGCCCCAGGGGAAGTGCTCCGCGCGGCGGCCCAGTGCGCGCAGAACCCCCAGCCCGCGGCCCGCGCCCTCGGGCCCCGCCTGCAGCGCCTGCAGCAGGAGGCGGGCGGGGGCCTCCAGGGTCGCCCAGGGCGCCGCCCCGGCCGAGGCCACGGTGTCTGACACCGACCGCTCCAGCGCAGAGCCGACGCGGGGCGGCGGACAGAACACACGAGGGCCGAGGGATCCTCGGCCGGAGCAGAGATCCCCGCGCGGGGGAAACGGGAAGCACCGGAGCAGGGCCTGAGAGGGCGGGGCTTGGCGCGGGGGGAGGGACCGGAAGGGGTGTGACCGGCAAATAAATCAGACTCGTGTGGAAGGGGCGTGGCCAAGGAAGGGGCGGGGCGATGGCGTCAGGAAAGGGCGAACCGCCAGCTACACAGACTGGATAGTAGGTGGAGCCCTCGGGGGGGCGGAGCCAGTTCCAGCGATTTGTGCCAATCCGGTCGGCGCTTGGTGGAAAGGCTGGTACTAGACTGCTGCCTAATCTTACTCCTTCTCCACGTCTTTTCTAATATTTACATTTTATTTTTTTATTATTTTATGTGTATGGGTGTTTTGCTTGTAATGTATGTCAATGAACCACGTGTGTGCCTGGTGCCCGCGGAGTCCAGAAGAGGTCGTCTTGGGATACAGATGACTGGGGGTTTACATGTGGGTGCTGGGGATGAACCCGGGTCCTCTGCAAGAGCAGCCAATGCTCTTAACCACTGAGTCATCTCTCCAGCTCCTATCCGTTTTAAATTTTACTTTTAATCATGTGTGTGTGGGGAGGGGTATGTGTATGTGTGGTTGGCGGATATGTCCATGAGTATTTGGTGTGCATGTGCCTTCGGAAGCCAGAAGGACTTTGATTCCCTGGAGCTGGAGTTCTGAACCTGGGTCTTCTGTAAGATAGCAATATGGGCTCTTAGCTGATGAGCCATCTCTCCGGCCACAGATTATCAAATATTTCGTGATAATTACTTTCAGGAAGA